AGAGAGAGAGAGAGAGAGAGAGAGAGAGAGAGAGAGAGAGAGAGAGAGAGAGAGAGAGAGAGAGAGAGAGAGAGAGAGAGAGAGAGAGTAATGAATCGTCTAGCGCTAAAACACTGCCATAAGATGAATGAACGGCTGAACAAACCGACATCAGCGATGCCTCTAACATGGCGGATGGTTCTCAAAAGAGAGCCACGATTTAGAGACAGTGATTGGGTAGGCTCCCTGGAACTGGGGAACAGGGTAGGAATGTCCCAGACAGAAGAGGCACAGATGATGTTAGTTGAACCTTGGGAGATCCATGAAAACGGCAGACTTAGTGAACCAGGTCAGCCTGACCCATTCATACGGATAGAGAAGCAACACGCATGGAGGGTGAGAGTAATTGAAAAGGAGGAGAAAATTCCACCAGTAGGAAGGAGCAAGAATAGAAGATCTTCCCATGGACCCACTGGAATGGAGATGATCCAGAACTGGCCTCAGAAAGAGCCACACATCGCACCTCTGCCTAACACAAATTAACCATTAAAAAAAAAATCAACATACAAACTAATCCACCACAAGATGGGGATATTAGGGACAGGATAAGAGACCGATGGACCAGACGTCTCCATATAGGCACACACAATCTGCAAAGGATAACACTTCTCACTGACAACAAGTGTAAACCAGCTAAGTCAGCAGACCTACAATGGCAGATCACTCACAGATGCCTACCAACAGGAGATTGGCTCATAGACCACTCCCACTTGGAACAGAAATGGCTGCTCTTGCGATGGTGCAAATAATGCTCAACATACTCCCCCCTGACACAGAAACACAAGAACACCGCTTCCTCTCTTGCCCACGCGCGGTGTCGCTACGGAGGGATAGAGGATGGAGATGGCTAACAAATTTCGCACAGGCAGAGAAACACCAGAACACCTCTTCCTCTCGTGCGCACGGGCAGTGTTGTTATGGAGATGGTGCGAAAGAGTTCGGAGATGGCTGACGGGGGGGACAAACTGGCCATGGGACTGGAAATCAATCCTCCTAACCCACCACCTGAGCCGCCGAGGGACAAATTTTACTGCTAACTGGAACCAGACTCGGAAAAAACTTCAGAAAAGCGCTACTGTGGCGAATATGGCTGGCAAGATGCACCCACGAATGGGAAGATGATTAACCAGACCATGAGACTGGGAGAATGGCAACAGAAAGTGGGCGACATCAAGCATCTGAATGATCCTTTTTTTTCTTCTTCTTCTTGTTTTTTTTGGGGGACCATTTCTCGATTTATGCATGTCATCCTTGCGCAGGGGATACATGCTAATCTTCTCTGTTTCGTTCCAATTTTAACGGATGTCCCGAAGGACAGCATCTGAATGATCTTAACCACAAAACAATTGAAAATAAATGAACTCTGTGGCAAAGGGCTGAACAACCCACAGTCCACGGAGATTGCAAGGGTTGACGGGGAGGTATCATCGCCTCAAGGGGTTCGACTGAGATTCATTGTTGAACTAACTTTGAACAGACGTTTCATATGAGGGCAGTCACAGAATCCGTGGACCCATTCCCTCCTTCAGACAGCAGTATAATAGAATTATTATGGTCTCGAGGCGGAGAACAAGCTCAGTGTAACATAATGGTAGGGAACCATATGGGATCCCACCAGGTGGTGAAGAAACAGGCTGCTTGAAGACAGGCTGAACAGGCAGTTTCCCACACAATCAGTACCATCTGATCTTAATCATCTTATTGTTTGGCTAAAGACCAGACTATCATCAGCAAATCAGCACATCACAACTGTTGCAGAAACATTTCATGTACTCTTGGTGCATTGAGTCTCACTGCTCGTCACCTTGAGCACACACACACACACACACACACACACACACACACACACACACACACACACACACACACACACAGATCACACGAAGTCCACACTGGAGACCAGAGATGCAAAGTCCAGAATATCG